ACTCGAGAAATTCTCGGATCTTTTGAATGCATTGGCGGCCGGTCGCTGGCTTACAGACCTTAGTAACAACAAAATGCACCCAATGATTCCGCGGTGCAATTAACCATTCCCAAAAAGACCTCTGCAGTGCTCGTAAAAGAAGTCGGACTTGTGTTCACATTGCTGCTAGAGGATGGCCACGACCTCCGCGATCATAGCGGGAAGAAACCGTGTCGAACGGCGGTGCTTCATGCGTCTATCTCGTTTTTATTTCTAAATACGTCACTCCAATTCTTTCAAACTCTCCTATCAATGGATTAATAGTTCGGCGTAACATACTCACATTGCTCGAATTCGCACGGACTTCCAGTCACTCAAATACGTCTAGATCAGTTGGCTTCCTGTGTGCTCCAACCAAGATTCCCACCTAAGACACACTGAGCATGTCCAAAGAGCTTCTACGAAAATCATTGTAAGCTTCAAATCCATTGACTATGAAACGCTCTCGCGGTTCTCCAGCTCCATCCCCTGGAGTATCGTCACATTCGAGAAAAACTGATATTTACTTATGTCCTGTTTGAACAATGTTTGGCCAGCAGCTTTTTCACAGTTGGCCCAGCTAGCTCACAACGGAGACACATAGGAAGTTTTGAAAGTTCAAGGGGCACCTATTTATTCGGCAGCAGGCTCTCTCATTTCAGATAGTCGATGCATGATGGTTGTTCATGCTGTGTCAAATGAATTTTCGATGACTTTTTAGATGGGTCTTCGTGCTTGTAAAATTACTGCCTCACGGTGAGAACACGAAGAACAGTGAGACGCCGTTTTTCGCCTGCGCCTTTCAGGCGAATCGCGGCCGCTAAACAGGAACAAGCACAACCTCGGAATATGAGCGAATTTCCCGATCCTGTTTGTCAACCTGCGTATCCATGGCTGCCTCGAAAGCCAAGCCTCCAGGAATGCTAGCCACCGATTGGAAGCAAGAGTCAATCGCCGTGTGTTCCCCTTTTGCGGATGAATCACTCCGCTGTCTGCAGTATACGGTGCCCGGAGGTTTGGTTGATTTATATGTTAACGTTGGTGATGTACATATCTGCTTACTGTAAGCTTTGCTCCATGAGCTTTCTGTCTATTTTCCATACGCGGAAATAGTCATGAACACCGGCTTCCTGAGAATCGTTCAATCCCGGGTTTATCGCAGCGTTTGCGCCCAGGCATGTGCGAGTATGCGGAGAGTTCTCTAAATGCTTCCGTACACAAAGGGCTAACGCCAAGGGTTGCTTGCTTCATTCCTATTTAATTTCATGCTCTATGAGATAACAAGCTAAACTCTAGGATGTCTTTGAAAATCTAATGTTCACATAGGGGCTGACGAAGACCTTGCTCATCTGGGGGGGCATCGTTTTCTTCTTTGGATAGGCGAATGTGTATGATTTTGTTAATGAAATGGCCGAAGCTATCTCGCCCCTTTGCATCCACAAAATGTAAGAATCATCTGGGGGGGCATCGTTTTCTTCTTTGGATAGGCGAATGTGTATGATTTTGTTAATGAAATGGCCGAAGCTATCTCGCCCCTTTGCATCCACAAAATGTAAGATGATGCCTCTGAACATGAAGTCACCGAGTGAGCGATTTACACTCCAGGGAAAGGCACTGGAAGTTGTGGTGCGTTTCACATAACTTGGGGATTTTATTACTTCTGCTTCTAATGTGAATAAGAGGTTGATGTACGAATCTGCAAGGTTCGGGTAGAGCTTGCTAAGTTGAGGCACCTCTGAGGGCAAAGCAAAACACCAGTGCTGAACACTGATGTGCTTTCGATGACAACAGATCACGGAGATAATACGTTTCCCAATCCCACAGTGAAAACGCACCCGCCACGGGCCCACAAGCTTCACAAAACCCATCTGGCACCGGCCAGGGCACGCAAGTAGTTTTACACCGGGGAAGTGGTCTTTAAAAGGCGAGCCAGTGTAGCGTACAGTGCCTTCGATTTTGTTTGATTCATATGTATAACCATGTACGTACAACCTCGGTCGGCGAATATGTAGTTTAGGTTCTATTGAAGAACCTGGGCTCGGTGATTCTCCGAAAGTTGGCGTTCGCGATACTCAACGTCAATGGAAAACAGAATGAAAACTCATGAGTACAAGTGAGAACGCAATTGGTGCTGTGCCCTTCGAGTGTTCTTGATACGCGATGTATGTATGTAGTTGCACATACCAGCCGAAGTC